AGCAGGGTGAAGAAGATAGATACAGCCTAAGCATGAAAAATTATTGTCTCCCTGACTGAACTTTCACTAGAGCTTCATTTCAATCGGTAGGGATAGAAGAATGAATTAAAGATGAAGTTCAATGCGAAATGTAAGTGTACAGATTAACAGATGATTTGCGCTGATAAGATTTTAACAAAAGTCTTGGGCGCTTAGACACCAGAGGAAGATTATTTGTGATTGTGGGACATCTGAGCAACAGCAAGATAAATCCCCCAAAAATAAAGGGGCTGCAGGCCCCCTTGAGAAAGAACACAGCCTAAAATTCCCTCCAAAGAATGTTTACTTACTGAGCTGCAGTAAACAAGCCATGATTAATCAAACATTGAATGATCTGGTAAGAGATAAGACACAGAAATAAGTGAAACCATGAATCACTCAATGCCATGAGTGTGATGCTGCTTAGCCTGCTAAAGCTGTGATGCTCAATGGCATGTATGCTCTGAATTAGTTTAACCTGCAGTGATTGATGACACCTGAATGACTTAGCTAGCTTTGGTTACGAGGCATAATGCCATGTATGCAATGACATGCTATGCTAGTAAAGGTTAATGACAGTGAGACCTGAATAAACAACATGTAGTCTATGAGCTGGCCAGCAAGGCTGGTTAGCAGGATGGCATGCATAGAAAATTCAGATTAGGTAGTGAATGTCAACCTTTTAAACATTTATTTATTCATAGATGGGCATGGAAGACCTGAATTTGACAATAATAATAGTCAGTAACAAAAATAACCAATAGTACTGACTTGAGAATTAGTAAGATGCAGCTACATGGGAATTAAATAACCCACAACCACCTGCCACCAGTTATATGCAATTGCTTACCTTAAGCTGTTAAGGCTTTAGAGATGATTGAGCTTTGACGATTGCATTGGCTTCAGGACATGGGGTTTTTGTCTGCAGTCTAGAGTCAGAGTGATGCATGTTTTTTTTTTTAAATATTTACCCATGGATTTAAACTGAGAATCAGTGCGAGCAACAATTATGGTGCAAGGCCCACCAGCTTTAGAGTGTTTAAGCCTACAGCTAAAGAAATCTGGGTAGAATGTTAAGTCCAAAAAGGTAACGTCTTTAGAAGGATCAAATGAATTTGTAGAAGTCATACATTCCCTGCTTCTTAAAAAAACAGAAAAAGCCAATAGGAAAAAGCAGTCCAGTAGAGAGTCAACATAGGAAGAAAAACAGCCATTTCTCAAGACTGATAACATTTTATGCAAGATAGAAATCCTAATAGGGAGTCTATTATTACCACTAGGGGGAGAAACTTTTAAAATGCCTTTTATCAAGTGGAGGATCTATCAGCAGGTGGAGCAGGGAGGAGACTCGGACTCTGTTTAAGAGAATCCAGATGGAAGGACTGCTTTTACAACCGAATGTGAGACAAACTGCAAAATACAGATTGGATTCACTTTTTAAACCGAAGAGGCGCCACTGCGAAGGATGAATAGGAACTATTTTGAACACGTCAGTAATATCGGCTTTGGAAACCCAGGCGCCCTAACCAGCTAGCTTGATGAGCTTGATAGTATTATCAATCATGGAAGTAATGAAGTGAAAAACGCTTGGGTTGGATGAGACTGTTAATGCTAGGAACTGGCCTGGAGTGGGAAGCTGCGAAATAGAAAATAAGTTTTTCTTGCTAGAATATTTTTTTGTTGCTACTCCTATGTGACTAGTGCAAAACATGGCAAATAGTGAGGACTGATATGGGTCAATTAGATACCCTCCTTGGAGCTCCTTTTTTAAGTAGTTGGGAAACTACGTCTGGTTCTTTAGAGCAGAATAGAGATTTTTGCACAAGTAGGAGAAAGTCAAAGATGAAACAACCCCTACCCGAAGACAGTTCAGATGCAAACGCTTGGACATTCATTGGTGTGGATGGATGGATTTTTAATAAGTCTTTGCACCACGAAGATGCTGCAGGGGGTGAATCCTGCGTGGTCACAGTAATCTGGGACCAGCGTCTGGCACACAAGTGCACACATTTTCATTTAAATTGTTAAAAATGGGTTGGTTGTTGAATATGTGCGACCATGGCTTTCAGTTTTTACTCTTATGGAGGGAGCTGGATCATTTGAAGTGTTAGTATTTTTAAAGACTCCATGTTCTTGGGGAAAAACTGGAACCAGAGGGCAGAGAGAAGCTGAATGACCAGTGATGCTGCTAGTAGTGCATGACACAGCTTGCAAACCATCCACTAACATGACCAACAGTTCAGTGTCCAAGATGGCCCAGTTCAAGCGGATGTTAGGTTGATATGTACAATGCCACTTGGCTGGAGAAACATTTGTGATATTGGTAGAAAATGTTTTTTCCCATACCTCAAGTTAAGGTCACCAATCAGGGCTAAATATGTGTCCAGTTCTTGTCTATGCTCTGGGTAAACAGAGCATATGACGTCACGATAAATACCAAAAGCCACTACAATTTCATCAATAGTCATATCTCTTGTCAGTCTGAGATCAGCAGTTTTGATTACAGCTGAGAAATTTTCTGCGGGGGCCACTTTGTTTCCACACTCTGTAGAATGGAGCATTAGACTGATGAGATTAATGTCTTTACTCTGCTGGATTTTTGATTATAAACAAGGTGTTTTATGTTTGCACCAAAAGGAGCATACAGCCTACCTAGCCTGGGAGCAGCAACAGCTGAGGCCAAGGAATGCTGTGGCATGACTGGGGTGCTTGCGGTGGAAGTGGATGTCTGAGGTGCAGGTGCTGGAACCGGGGTATGAAACAGAGGGATTTGTAAAGCTGTTTACATTGCCAAGGAAGAAGAGGCTTGAGCGTTTTCCAGGGACTGGAGGTGAGTGTGGATGGCTTGGACTGAATTTGCCAGAGACTGGAGAGTTGAAGTGAGGTGGTTTTCTGAGATATACGAGACATTATTTGATTGGCTGGGATGAGCCGAGCTGTTAGAGAAGACGTTACGCTTGGCTTGAGGAGCTGGATGATGATTTTTCTTAGCACATTTCTGACCTGTAGTTATTGCAGTGCTGGGGGTTTCACTGGGCTCATCCTGGACTGGAGTTTCACAGACCACCTCGCTAGCCAAATTCAGAAGTTGAGAGAGCTCCAAGCCTGGAGCCGGGGTGATGCCTTGAGCTTCTAACAGTTCCACAATCTCTACCTTTGCATCTTCATGATGGGCACCTATCCACATATACTATGCTGGGTGGCCGATGGTGTAGATGATTGCTCTAGTAACTTGGCCTCAAATAGTACAGCTTCAGGGTCTGACATCATGAAACAAGATGACAGCCCAAAAATTAACAGCAACACCAAACGTATACCTGCCATAAACAACCATGCAGTGACAGATGTATGCACAGCAGCAGCATTAAAGGACTGCGGGCAGAAAAAAAATCATATTTAAAATGAGAAACAGTGACATGATAGGCTGACGGAGAAGGTGTGTTGCTGTGCTATTGGTTGATTGTGGATCAGCTGTACGGCAGCTGTTGACTCGACTTAGAGCCCCAAACACTGACAGCCAGAGATAGAGCATGTGTGCAAGGAGTGAATAGCAGGGTGAGGAAGAAAGTTACAGCTGAAGCATGAAAAAGTATTGTCTTCCTGACTGTATTGTCTTCTCTTCCTGATTGTCTGCTCGCAAAGACTTCCACTTCTGTGTTGGAAAGCCAGGTCACCAGTATAGCTTTGTAGTTACTGATGCCTATGTTACTACCACAGCAACCCGTGGAAAAAGGTTGGTGATGTCTGGACACATAAGTCTGATCTGACCACTTGCAAATGACCGTATGTACAGTCTTTCTCAAAGATCTGAGATGTGCCAGCCCTGGGACTGACTGGCAACCTGTCCAGGATGTACCCCAAGTCTTGCCCAATGTCAGCTGGGATCGGCAACCCTGTAAGTGGTTACAGATAATGGATGAATGAAGCTCACTTCATTGATCTCTGGTGTCAAAGTCATGTGCTCTATAGTCTATAGGTGTAAGCTGGTCCCACCAAAAAGTTGTATCATGACTATAGAGACTATAGAAGTGTATAGATATAGTGCCTACCTCCAGGGCTAGTTGGCAAAGTACTGTAGCTGGAGAGCAAACAGCTAACATGCTAACTGGCCAGGAACATGCCAGCACTAGTCAGTCACTAAAGCAAGCTCTCCAGTGCAAGCTCGCTAGTATCATAAATCAGTTCAGGGAGACCCAAATGCAGAGTAGCAGACAAAAAGCAAGCTTAAATGCAACCGATTAAAAAAAACATCTGGAACAGGCAGGTTAGTCCGAATGAAAGCACAACCAAAATTAAAGTTAAAATCCACCTTGAAAAATTTGATGAATTCAGGTGAAAAAAATCCAAACACAATATGCCAGGCAGGAAACAGAGCAGCGAACGACACCAAGAACAACTGAGATGAGCACAGGAATGAATGCAAGACAAACTGACAAGGAACAAAGGGAAACACACAGGTATATATATGTACAGAAAAATAATCACAAGAACGAGACACAGCTGGGGTAGGAGGACATGGGCAAAAGGAGGGAAATGGGGATTGACTAACAACAAGGGTGTGGAGGGGAACACTAGGGTGGAGCAAACAAGACTAATACAGAACAGGTGTGAAGGGAAGACTCAGGGAATAGGGAAGGACTAAGACAGGTGTGACAGAAAACAGGCGGGAAAACACACAAAGACAGGAAGTAAAACCAGACACGACACATGAAGAGAGAATCTACAAGGAACAGATTAAACTGAATGAACAACATGAAACAAGGAACTCAAACAGAAAAAAAGTCCATAGGATAACAGAATGTAACCCCCATACATTAGACACATATCAGGTTGATTTAAAGTGATTAAGGTTATGCATGTAGTTACACTTAAATTCCAAAAGGGGGCGCATAACGTCCACAAATGAGTCAAAAGTCAGAAACCAAAGGGGAGGAGAAGTAGGAAGTGAAAACGAAACTAAAAGCACAATGAATGCAGTGGAAACACGAGTGCAGCTTTTCGTGAGCAGCGTGGAGTAAATGTTATATTCTAATAAGTTGGTGTTATTGTTGTCCAAGAAGACATAAATCCATTCGGAATATTATTGTGTTGCCAGAGGGTTAAGAAGGACCACAAACTAATGTGTTTCGATAACTATTCTCCGGTGAGTGTGTTTTTCTTTGAGTGCTAGCTTAAAACTGTTAGCTCATGCTCGTTCATGTATGTGGATGGAAAAAAACAATCTGAGAAACGTGAGTTGTTTGTAAAATAACTCAGCACTGTTGAATTTATGTGAAATGTGTGAAGTATTAATATTAGCAGAAATAATAGCTTTGTCAGTTTATTTTCTGAAGGCATGTTTTATGTTTTATACTGTGGACATTTGAGAAATAATAAGTTGATAGAAAAGAGAATTGCTAAGATGTTACTAATACTGCATAGTTTAAAGGAAGAAATGGACTTTAACTAAGGTTAAATTATACGCTATGCAGGTTGTTTTTTTTATGGTCGATTGCTGAGAGAGGACGACTGCGACTCGAGGTGTCCCAGCAGCGGGAGGCAGCCCGGCCGCCACTGCTACTTCACGTGGAGGAGTCACGGAGCCACTCCATGGATTTGGACGTGCCAGTTTTCCACGCGGATTCCAGATAAGATTTGACAATTAAAAGAACATAAGGTCACAATATACAAACAACTAAGACTGAACTGAGAAGGAAACAAAGTGACTAAAAAAAAAAACTTTTGACTTGACTGAACTGAACTTGAACTAACTTTCTACAAGAAGGATCCTACTCTACAGCCGTGGAGAAAGAACTGATAAGACAATTGTTAAGTACCCGGGTACAGTAACTAAAGTTGGCTAAGTGAGTTTATTTTTTTTATTTTTTATTTTTTTGTGGTTATTATATAACCAGAGCTCTGGGAAAAGAGGTACACTTAATTTCATTTTTTTGAATACGCCTTACTGTGCTTTGCTTTATTATTTTGTTTAAGTATAACAGAAGGTGAACCAGCATAGTCTGAGAGAAGTGTTTAATTCATTTTTCTATAAATAAATGCACCCAGTTATTGTATTAAGTCGTTGTGGTGTTTTGCTTAACATCCTCTGACCAGAACCTAGATTTTAGACATTGATGTTTTGCTATTACTCCCTTACAGTTAGTGTTACAAGAATATAAACAAAAACTCAGGATCATGACAGCTACATGATACTGTTGTATAGTGACTAACTGGAGAGAGTTAATAAAAATGTATTTAGGAGAGTAATTATTACCGTTGACATGCCTCTTTTGTTTGACAGTTTATCCTCTAGAAGAGCAGCAATATAATAAAGTAGTAGCTGCAAAAAAGCCAACAAGCTATGTTCCTCTGTTTTGCACTGTCCGTTTTCCTTAACCCAAAATATTATAACAGATTCACTAAACCTTGTAAACAGATGTGCTTATTGCAGCAAATCTAGTTCAATAAATCATTTTCTGACAAAGTTTCCCTGTTTTGAAAACTGCCATGACCAGGCCTTAAGAGTGTCACACTATTTCCTACTTTGGAAAAAACATTTCAAGGAAAAATCACTGATACAGCAAGTATTTTTCTTCTGTAATTGCAAATAAATTGCATGTGAACATAATTCTTAAGAAACTTGACAAAAGAGGCTTTTTTATGGGGGGCGGGAAAGTCAGAAACGTCAAAGCAACTGGGGTCAAGATATCTGATTTGGTAGATCATTTTAAAAGATGTTTGCTGTGCAAGGTCTCTCAGTCAATTTGGTAATGGAAAGGCACTCTGCAGAGTGCTTGTGCTGAATTTTGTTTTTTGTCCCAGGAAGAAAGTGATGTCCTTGTGCAGGAAGTGCAAAATCCCAAGAGCCAATATATAGCACTGCAAACAGGCAGTTGCTCTGGTCTCTCAAAAACTGTTGCCCAATGTAGAGAGAGATTTAATGATATATGAAGGAGAGCCAAACATAAGTTGGCAATAAAATGGAGAGACAGTTTGGTGACAGAAGGGGGGAATCCAGCAGCCAGAACCTCACTGAAGAAGATGCAGCTGCAGCTACTATCCCATCACGGAGCATGGGAGGTTGGAGTGACAGATGTTAGCGTACTGTAGAAAAACTGCAAGTTCCGTTACCAAAACCAGTCAAGAATTAGAAGTGGTTAGATTGAAAAAAAAAAATGTTATTTAAGTGACAAAAACAACTTTCTACAGAAACAAGTCATGAAAATAATAATTTCGTGCTACTTTTAAACATTAAGGCATCCCATTCAATCCCTCATTTTATGTTTGCAGCGGGAGAAGAGGCCACAGAGAAAAGTGCAGGTCTAAGAAATAGCAACCAACCAGCCTTTCCTCAGTCTCTAATGAACTGGGTTTAAGAACAGAGACTGGGAAATGACTTCCCTTTGAAAAACGAAATTAAACTGTCTTCAAGATCAGCAAGATTACACACAGTATGATAGTGCGCACACTTTTTTGTTTATACTTCGTAAAAATATATAAATCTATCATTGTTTTGTTCTTTATTTGATCTGTATTTCTCCCAAATATGATATGCATGCAGCAGCATTGTTCACTGTTGTTACTGTATCAGCAAAAGGCTAATCTACTGCTACAAGTAGTATCCAAAATTTCAAATGAAAACCAGCCCCTGAAATAAACAGTTGTCACTTAGGTCTAAAATGAATGCAGTAACTTGAAAATTAATTTCTAGAATAAAGATGAAGATAATGGTGTCATTTAATACCGGTAGAAGGGCAAGGACAATGGTGGAAATAAAGAGAGGTGACAGACAGCACAAGGCTATTTTAACATCTATTACAGTCTAAACACTTAAAATTCCATCACTAAATACACCAGCCAGCCTGATGAGACTGTTCAAGAGGAAAGTTATGGAAGCATTTGGAAAACTGAATCAAAATGAAAATGTATTCTCTCACAATAGTAATTTAATTTCCCACTGAAATATGCATTAATTTGGTCAAAAAATAAATTAAAATTCAATAGTACAATTGCAATAATAAAATGAAAATGCAAAAGCAATTAGACATTTCATATCTGAAGACACACTGCTTTATGGCTGACCATATCCAAACCTTAAATTAAATTTTAAAATAAAAATGCAATATTAATTTTGTTGCTTCATTTTGCATTTTTAGATGTATCAGCTGAAACAATTGAAATTAAAATGGAATAACCATTTTTTATTTTAATTTTTATATACCTTTATGTATATTCTCCAAAAATTTTATGATGTTATGAGAACGAATTACAGCATGGAAAAGCATGGTCTTCCTGACTGAACTTTCGCTAGAGCTTAATTTCAATGCCATTGTGTTGTTTCCCTGACTAAATGAAATGGCAAATGCAAACTGCAATTGCATTTTCAAGTTCTAGCAACATGTCAAACTCCAAGTGCAGGACTAAGTTGGCAAGCAACTTTAGTGTGTAGTGAGTGGATTTCTCGTTCAAGTGAGCCGGTTCTTTGGCTCTCGTTCACTTTGAAGAGCCGGTTCAAAGATAGACTCCGCAGATATAAAGTTTAGTGTAGCCATAGCAACGGCCTTTATAAACAACAAGCCTGTCAGTACAACAGGGCTTGAAGCAAGAAAAAATCCTGTGCCTGACATTTGACATCTAAATGAATTAATCTGGTTGGGGCCGGGCAATTTTAGGCAATTCTGAGCAACAAGGGGCAGAATAGGAAGACAACAAAAACATCTGCATTAAAATGTACATTTTACATCAGTTGAGGCTTGAACTCACGACCTTTGACATCAAGGAGCATCTTCTATCTCTCTGAATTGCAGCCCCCAACCTGTAGCCATTTCTCTCTCTCTCTCTCTCTCTCTCTCTCTCTCTCTCTCTCTCTCTCTCTCTCTCTCTCTCTCTCTCTCTTTGTGTGTGTGTGTGTGTGTTTTCATCTCTCTCGTGTCTAGACCAAACTGAACAAATATTTATAGACGGACAAGCAACATCATAATTAAACAGGCTTTTATTTTTAAAATTTATTTTATTTTGAAAATTGGCCAGATTCTCTCGTCTTTTCTGTGTCTGACTTCCTGTTTGGTATGATCCGCTCTATCCAGCTTAACAGAAGCGCTCGCAGCTCGCGTGAAAAATAGACCAGATGCCGAACTGAAGCACTGCAGTGCGCGAGCCTCCGTGGGCGCTCCGCTTTGCTCAGCGGCCTGTGTGGACAGTCAGTCAGATAGGTTAACATGGGCGCCGATTGAAAACTGCCTCCGCTGCTGGGCGCTAAGCTTCGAATATTCCTGTGCCGGAAATCCAGCACCGTGCCGGAGAACTTCAAGCCCTGGTACAAGCAAGTGCTAGCAGATAGTGGGTTAGCTTCCTACCGTTCATTTCTAACCGAGGGGGGTCATCAACACTACGTGAATTACGAACTGGCTCGTTCACTCTAAAGAGCCGGTTCACTAGTTCACTTCAAAGAGCCTGTTCAAAGACTCGGCTTGTTCACAAATGTCACATCACTATTAGTGTGTGTGCTCTCAACGGTGAGGGCGAAGTCAATGGCCTAGCTTTGTTGAGAGGCAGTGGAAGCTTTAGATGGCAAAATTTTACTTCCTCCAATACTACAACCAATGTTAGCAACTCAAGCTCAATTCTGGATCAACCACCAGGCAGTGCAAGAGGTAAGTAGATTTAACATTGAAAACTATAGTTAACGCTAGCCAACATTAGCTGGATTAGCTGTAGCTGGATGACAGCCAGGATTAATAAATAAAGTTGATTGAAATCATAGCCTTGCAAAATGGAATCTAAAGACTGAAACTCTGTCCATTAAGATATTTGCAATTGCTGTTAACACAGGTCATCTAGGTTGTGCCATACCTGTCAAGTTTTGGATTTGAAGATAAGGGAAATTTTCCGGCGCCCGCCACGAGCTGTCCCACCACCCCAACCAAGCTCCAGTATCCCTTACATTTTAAGACAGGTGTACAGGAAATCTAAAATAACCACTTGTCAACCAGAGCCGCTGTCGACACTAACCTTGCGACAACTGCCACCCAGGCTACTGCAGGTGGCAGTTCTCGCGAGGCTAGTGACAGAGTTCAGTTTGGAGAGGCAGAGGAATGTTTTTTTTTTTTTTTAATTACATTATAATACAGGAGATTTACGGGAAAATACTAATATGGGAGGACGGCGGGAAAGAGGGGTAAAATACGGTAGTTTCCCGGCCAAAACGGGAGACTTGACAGCTATGGGTTGTGCTGACATGTTAAATTTTTCAACAGCAGAGTTTAGGAGGCTGTTTGAGCCCTACCCAAGCACACAGGGGATTGGAAGGCGGCATTCAACACCTATTCAGCCTGCAAAGAAGCAAAAGCTGTGCTCATCCACGCATCGCTTCTTCTGCCTGGCGGGGAGAAAGGACTGTGGGGTGCCAAGCTCCAAACAGAAACATGCCCTTGAAAGGGTTGGACTGAGGGAAAAGAGAATCACATTTCCAGATAAAGTCTCATTTTCTTATTTATATATTTTTTATAGGCCATATGACATTCAGTCTCAAATTACCATATCAGTTATTGTAGTTGTTAGTACTGGGCCAAAGTTCAGTGACTTTTTCCTGTCTAGTATTACTATGAAAGTCATGGGAGGAATCTAATTAGAAAAAGTCACTGAACCTCTACCTTACTTTTATTTCCCACTGGTAGTGATTGTAAAGTGATGAGTCATATTTTCTTTGATCTCCCAGGGACTGGCTTCAAATGCCATGTATAAATTAACCCCATATCTCACACTGTGTGTGAGCTTTCGGATGTAGAGTCCACTGTATGCCCTAAAATCCCATTAAGATGTATTGAAGGGACCTGGTATCAGAGAGGTATCAGACAGTATTAGCACACATTAAATATATATTGTTCAACATCACCAGACACAATCTCAAGATGACAGCTGAGCAATTACTTATGTGAAATGTTAAACCCATTTTTGCCTGTATTAAACTACTTGTACAATGGACTTAGGGTGTTGACTACTTATGCAAACACAGTTCCGTCATTTTTATTTAATTTCTTTAACACATTTTCTATAATTTCTTTTCAGTCTGACAGAGCACTTTGTATAGAATACAGATAGACAACTCCAAATAGAGAAAGAACTTTAAAGTGTAACACATTGTGCAAAAGGTCGTCCAAACTTTTGAGTGATTTAAATATGCACATATATTAGGTGTATGAACACATTTACTCAACACTGCAGTAAGGTTGTAATACTTTTGCTCTTTTTTATTCTCATCGAACAAGAATTGCCCCCCAAGGGAGTTTTTCAAAAGAGCTCCTAAAGCACTTCCCACATTTACAGTAATGTCGAGGGTTTCTGCTCCTTAGCTGCAGAGGGTCAACAAGGTCAAAAGTTTTGGACGTAATCCCATGTCTGCAGGAAGGGTATTCACCGGAACAACTTCCCAGTGGAACAGTTATGGTCGGCCAATCCCTTATCTATGTAAGGCCACTCATAACA